AATGTGTCATGGGAGGCTGGCTCTAGAATTATCTAATTTACAGTCATTGCTTAATAGAATTTACTCACATATAATCATAGATCTAAAAGCCACTGATTTTCTTATTTCATTACTCATTCTGGTCCTTCAAGCTATCTTAGAATTAATCATTATTTTGCATTCTTAAAATTATACATTTTATTAGTATTATACTGGAGCCAGAATTCCCCACACGAGTGTGACTATATTGTTAAGAAATCTTATAGAGTGAAAAAGTCTGCAAATCACCAGAGCAAAACAGACTGGTATCAGGTAACCCTTGGTGACAAATTGTGATCGTCTATGAGTGACCTAGAGTGAACTATGGTAATGCCGCTGCCTAAGTAATCTGCGTGTGACTTGCCACAGTGTACCTGCATGGTATCATATAATCAGCTGCCGCCAGCCGCCACTCAGACCGGAGCGTGTAACCAGCCGCCACCAACCACTGCCAGCAGCGCCACTCGCTCTGCCCTCATTGTACGCACTACGTGACATCACCACCCTTCACACCCTTACTCACCGCCAGTGACATCAAGTGTGTGTGTGTGTGTGTGTGTGTGTGTGTGTGTTAAGCATACAGCACACCCTCCTCTGCGAGTATCCTCCGTCTCGACTACTGTTTGTTGGGAATGCCTGTCGTCAATGGTCTCACGTCAGAACGAGTGAAACCAGCTGTCAGGCCACCTACGAGTTCGTGCATAAATGTGCCTGAATGTGTGAATGGGAGAGGTAGCCTACCTGTAAGTACAAGATCTTGTATTATTGTGTCTGTCTGTGTTGATCTGAGGGATCAACCACAGTTCTCACCTTCTCATACCTGACACAGGTATAGGTGGAGACCCCAACGGTGCATGCATGTCTGTGTGGTATCACGACATTACACTCGTCTGTGAATTTGAGTTTCATATGCACCACACATTTAGTTATTGCGTTACATAATTATTGTGCATGATTATTGCCTGTCCCATTGACAGTGCCATTGTGATTTATTGTGCATCATCATTACCCGAGTATCCGGTTGGAACTCGTTGGGATTCCTTTGCATACCAGCAGTTAGGTTTGCCTTGTTAATGATTGGCTGTCAATTGTGTTACGTTAGGTGTTTCTCCACGAGTGGATCAGAATCATTAGTCAGACGTCAAGAGTCTCGCTAATGCAACCATAGCCTTGCTGACACCAATCTAAAGTAAATCAAGCACCCTTTGTATTAGTGGTTAAGTTTGTAAATAAACTACTGTCAAGCTTTATGCGGTGTTTCCGTTGAACCACTTCTTCTGAATTCTTCTGAAGACTTCTGAATACTGCCAACTATTTACTTAAGCCTTCAGCCCTAGGTGTCTTCAACACCAAGTTGCCTATTATTCACAAATCTATATATGTGATGAGGACCCTAGGAGTCCCTTAGAATGTTTCAAACATTGAGGAGATTCCAACGACCAACGTGGACCAGGACCAGGTGAGGCTAGTCTGAGAATAGACCCTCAAGGACTAACTTGACCTTGCTCCCAGACCCTATACGGTTGCTCTTGTATTTTCTCTGCTGGATTCCGACTGCTTCTTGAAGCGTCTGCCACATGTACAATGGGGCCTCGACTTACGATGCTAATCCGTTCCCAGAGATGAATCGTAAGTCGAAATATCGTAAGTCAAAACGATTTTTCGCATAAGAAATAAAGGGAATTGAATTAATCCGTTCCCCACCCTCCAAAATATTAACATACAAATACATTTTATACTGAATACAATGTTTTTTCTAACTACAATACAGTACCAAAGTTACTCTCACCTTTATGGAGGGCTCTTGATGGCATATGGAAGATTGTGATGAGGGGGGAGGAGAAGAGTTATTCCTGTTTGGAAGGGGAGTCCCCTTCCATTATCACATCAGGCATTGATGTTTTCTCTGGGATACTCTCTCTCCTACGTTTTGCCTGAATACCACAAGGACCTGGTTGTGGTTCAGTGCTTGTTTGTCTCACTACAAATTTGTCAAGAGACATTTGTTTTTCCCTTCGTTTTAACATTTGTCTGTAATGATGCATCACAGTGTCATTGAATAGGTTAAGGGAACGACCTACTGCAGCTTGATTTGGGCGAGTCGTTTCAGCAAAGGTTTGCAATTCTTCCCATGCTGCACACATTTTCTTAATTGTTGAGGAAGAGACATTTTGTACTCTTGTTTTTGCTCTATGGTCATCCTTACATGGGTTTTCATATGTTGAGCCTTACCACTGACTTTCCTGGGACTCATTGCGTGATATATAATAATTACTTTAATGTTCAAAAGGCAAAAAATCACCACAAAAGCGGAATTTCTTATCGGCGCGATCGTCACTAAGCGGACAGCTGTAGTAAACTGAGGCAGGTCGGCCGTGTGACCGGGAACCACGCGCACGGTCGACCCGAACGTGTACCAACAAATATCGGAAGTCGACGACACCATCGGATGTCGAGTCGCATTTTTCGATGAAATTTACATCGTAACTCAAAATTATCGTAAGTACAGGCAATCGTATGTCAAGGTGCCACTGTACATTGATGACGTACGCATTGCAGTCGGGAGAGCAAAAGAGAAAACCCCACACTGCTTATGAATATTATACTAGTAACTCAAAGAATGCATGGTTTACACAGGAGATCTTTCTTTTTTGGTTTCATGATGTGTTCTGCAAGGAAGTCCGTGACCATCAAATTAAGAAACTCAAAGTGAGGCCAAGCAAAATTCGGGCTTTGCTGTTGCTTGATAATGCACGTGCCCAACCCAGAATTGACACTTTAACCTCACATGATGGCAAGATAATGTGTATGGCACTTCCTTCTAATACCACCTCTCTCATTAAGCCTATGGATCCAGGAGTTATCTGTGCTACAAAGAGGTTGTACAACAAAAAGATGCTCAATGAAGTTCTGGTGGTTTTGCCTCTCAAGGAAGATTTGAAACTCGGCATGGATAACAGGGCTAAAAGAACCCTTGAGAACTTCATTAACTATTCCCTCCAGGAAGCAATCTATAACTGGGCCAAGGTCTGGTGCAAAGTAAATGTGTTGACTTTGAAGAATTCCTGGAAAAAACTACTCGCATGTATGGTCAACAATGAGGAGGATGAAGAAATGAATTTTGAAGGATTTACAGATGAAATCCATGGAGTGTTCAGAAATGCTGGTGAAAATTTAGAAAGACAGTATATGGTTGAATGGCTTGAAAAAGATGCTAATGACCCAGGATACGGTGTGATGAGCAAAGAAGAGATTGTCCAGTCTGTTACTGGTGAGGCAGAGGATGACAATGGCAATGAGGAACCAACACATCAAACCACGAAATACAGTGTACTCATGTCCTATGTTGATGGATTAATTATTCATCCTACTGTGCTAATCCAGAAGTTGGAAACATACATCAGTACCTGAGGCAAACCAAAGAGCTGATTATAAAGGAGACCAATGAACACAGGAGGAAAGCTAAACTTGATTCATATTTTGTAAGAACAGCAAGGCAAGGACTTTTATCCAGTGAGGCCTCACAGGCAAGCCAAGAGGCTTCAACCAGTGAGGCCTCACAAGCAAGCCAAGGACCTTCAATCAGTGAGTCCTCACAAGCAAGTCAAGGACCTTCAACCAATGAGGCCTCACAAGCAAGCTTTTTCTTCAACCAATGAGGCCTCAGAAGCAAGCCAAGAGCCTTCAACCAGTGAGGCTTCAGCAGCTGGCAGTGAAATCTGACCTTGCCAAGCTTATGTATTGAACAGTAATTTTAAGTGTTAATGTTAGTGTTGTGTTGTGTTGTGTTAGAATAGGTTACATAAATTGTTAAGAATTCTTAACTACAAGATGTGTAGCATCAATCAAGAATACGAACTACAACAAGTTGAGGTTTCTGTTTGAAATTAATTACAGTCCTGTACAGTACTTGAATATTTTATAATTACTGTGTATGTAGCAATTTAAATTATGTTGGTTGTGGTGCAAACATTTTTTGTAATGTTCATTTTTGGACACCCCGGTCAAACAGTCCTTTAGTTCGGATGTTGGACATATCCGAATAGGGGTCCTTCCCATATAGTTTGGACTAGCGAGCTAATACAGTATAGGACCAATACTAGAAGAGGTATTTGTCAGAGAATCTATGTAGTTTTCTCAGTCACAGAATTTGTCACAATCTCTGACCTGTGGTTGGTTATCTCCAGATAGATTTCCTGGTATAATATTTTTGTTTGCTATTATCCATCTTAGACTGCAGGTTGAAGTCTCCCAGGATGATATGGGGTTGCCAGATTATCAAGGCTATTTTGTTTATCTGTTCTGTGAATTCTTCAACCATTGCGTCTGGGGGTTTGTATATTAGAATAATAACCAAGATTATTTTCTCTATTTTTACTTCGAATACGTCTACTATGCCATCACATTTGTAGAGGTAAGAAGCTCCGGGCATACACAGTCCTCTCTAATACTGTATGTAAACCAATGTGACTCGTTTGCAGTTGTTGTTTGATGGTTTTCAAGGCTTCATTTTCTGTGAACCCTCCAGTTGTCTGTAAAGCTGTGCTGACTTAATGAAGTTTTTTTTCTGGCTAGATGGAAGATTGTCCCCCTCCTCTCTTCGTCTCTGTGAGGGGTGGCCAGATTTTTTCTCAGGTCCCCGGTAGGCCAAACAGAATTGTCCGCAACTGAAGCGACCCATTAGTATGAAGTTATCTCAGGAAGAATGTATCAAGAAGCCACAATCGAGTCCCCCCCAGAAAGGAAAATTATAAAAATGTCACAAATACAGTACCTAACAGAACCACCCTAATCAATTGTACAACACTCAATTACAATAATAATAATAATAATAATAATAATAATAATAATAATAATAATAATAAAGGATAATAAGACATGCAAGGAATATTGAAAAATGTTCAGATGACCAATACTGTACTGTACACACAAGATTGCACAAGAGAATGAGAACCCAAAATGGTTCTTTAAGGAATGAATACCTTTCCAAACGGTAGAGGATCTGAGCCTGAAGCTCCTGTACACGGGTTGTTACTTGAGCAGCTTTGCAAATGGTGTCATAAGCAGCAGAGACTTGGTTCAGCCTGTACTCACAGTATGCCTTCTCAAAGGCCAATTCACTGAAATCCAAACATAAAAGTATTTCAAAATATTTTATAAAAAAAAATATTCTAAAGTACAGTAACAGGTTAATCCAGGATTATTATTACACACTTAACCAATTCTGCATGGACTCACTCTGAAAACTTTGACTTCTTGGCAACAGAAAGAGCATCAGAAAATTGGTCCAAGTTGATGAGTGCCACAATCTTGCACTGCCAGGCCTTCAGCTCCTTGGGCTCCTCTGCTAAAACTGCAAAAACAAAAAAAATCACATCAACTCTTCTCTTGCACTGATGCAACTCCCTCACCTGCACATCTACCTCAGTCTCTGAAAAATACACTAATCTCTCTGCACCAACACATGTAAACCAGCTGAAACCTGCCCTAATAACTGGTTATACATAAATTAAATATACATGTATAAATATATACCTGTACTACAATAAAACAGTACTATAATAAAACTTTAAATGAAAGCTCATACAGATGCATATTAAAAAACCAGCTTTGAATGTAATGAAACGCCATTTTCTAGGCGAGACCCGGAGGTTCCCCAAAGCTATACCAGGCTGAAATGCTAATGTCAGACTTTGGCATCAGTCATGTGTATGGCGTTCTAGGGCCTACCGGGGACCACAGCCAGAACCTGGCCCCCTCAGAGAGGCAAGGGGAGCAATGGCCTATGGAAACCCTGTGTGGTTGGAAGCATTCTATATCTGCCATCGACCGGGTCAAGCATCCAGAAAGGTAAGCATTCCGAAACAAACCCCTGTTCTGGTTAAAATTGCTTCCAAAAGCCGAACTAGTGGATAGAACTTCCCAATAGAAAACAAGCAAACTAGTATGATGTCACATGTCACCGCGCCGCTGTCTGCGCAGCTCCCCCCTCCCCGGGAGGGGGAAGGGGAAGCCCCAGACCTCTCACGCCGGCTATCCACCTATCAGTTCAGAGGCTGGATGTCAAAACACGCGAAAAACTGCCGACCAGAGGGAGGGAGGATTGCCAGGGAGCCTCCGGGTCTCACTCAGAAAATGGCGTTTCATTACATTCAATGCTGGTTTTCTGGGGGGAGCCCCGTCGGCTCCCCGGAGCTAACTACCCACAGAGGAAGGTCAAAGGGATGGAACCGGAAGACGGTCACCACGCACCCCTCAACGGAAGTGAGACAACTTGCTGAAAATGCCAACCCAAGGAGACAGCCCCAAAAGGGCCCGGGAACAACACGAGACAACCAAAAGGCCAAAAGAGTAAGCAGCGACAACATAACCGGCAACAAAGCGAAGACAAAGAGCCCAATGGGAACCCAACCGGGCTATGAGTAGCCCAATCCGGCAACCCAGACTAGGAGCCGACAGACGTTCCAATAATACGGGAAGTAGCGAAAACCTACCCGAACCTTCGAGAACACAGAAGCAAACACCAGTCCCGAAGGCACACAAAGGCACAGTCGCACCCAAGACCAAAAGTAACGCAGAACCCCAATAACGGGGAAACATGACGAAGATACCCGGTCCCCAAAATGGGGGGAGCAACGGAGAAGAGCACCCACCTACAGGACAGAACCAACCGACTCAAAGGACAAGGAACCGAGCCCAGGGAGGGGCCGACGTCCAACAACTCGTACGGTGAGGGGGAGGAAAACCCCACTCCGCGTAACCGCAAGCCCCATCTAGAGAGTAGAAAAAAAACAGCGGGGTCCAACGGGGCCTTAGGCCCCCCAAGTCAGCCCCTCCCCAGCCCCAGAAACCCACACGACAGGCCCCGGGGCCGAGCCGTCCCCCCAAAGTCCCGGCCATACCAGAAAACCGGGGCAGCCGCGAAAATACTACGGAAGGGAGCCCATTGGCAGACTCTTACAACACGGCTAGAGGAACAGACTCGAATGCCCCCATCACTACCCCGGAAGGGGAATTCCCCGAGACCGCCCGAGTCTTAAAACCATCGAACCCTGCCCCGACCCCGAACCCACAGACGGTAAGGAACCGGATGCTGGCAGGAAAGGGGGGGATCCAGGGGAAAGACAAAGGGGCATGGAAGGAACCGAAGCAACCAACATCCCCAAGTCCCAACACGAACCAAAACAGGGCAGCCCTGGGACTCCCGGGGAGCAAACGAGAGTGTTGCCACCACCAAAGCTCAATGTGCAACGCCCCTGCTGCCTGCACCCGCTTAGTCAGCAGAACTAGGTAACCGAGCCACAACGAGCAACAAAACTCACAGGACTCCGGGTCGAAGGTGTCACCGACCCCACAGGCAGCAGATGGAGACAAAATAGAGAGTCACCCTGAGACAAGGGGTGAGAGCAATCCTCAAACTCGCTGGAAGCGAGGGGGGGGAGGGGAATCCGGGGTCACATCCAACGGACCCGCGCGCCACCAGGGGTTTACCAAGGTCCCGAGCGTTTACTATAATAGGACTCGCGCTCAGGTAATCCTAGGCAGGGTACTGCTAACCGGCGCCCAAAGCTACCAAACAACTTTCTAAGAACTGAACCCCCGGGACGTGTACACTCACGGGGACCTAGCAGGGGGTACCACCAGAATAATACTCAGAACACAAGGGACACTGGGGGCAAGAACGAAGGCAGACTCCCCACCAGGTAGATAAACAAAATTAAAAAGAAAACCCCGCAGGAGGACAGCGTACCCAGGTGAAACAGAGCCGGCCGCCATATAGGTGAAAACAGCTGCGCAGCACCCTGAGCCACACCAGTGCAAAACTGCCTCGTACCCTAAGGCGAACATGGGAGACAGAACACCCGAGCACACAAAGAGCGGCCGAAAACCAAGCAGTAAACAGCCTAGCAGGGGCAGAACCCAAGGAACTTGTGGAAGGTGGCTCCAAGGGCAGTACATACAGGGCACCTAGGGAAGGGAACCTTAGGCGCATGCATCCCGAGTACTGGAGACTCACTCCCGGCTCACGCACAACCTAGAAGACAGACACCACACTCTAGGTACAGTGCTGAAACAACTAATGGAGCCGGAGCACACAACCAGTGCCTATAGCATCAGCTGAAGAACTGATGGGTGGATAGCCGGCGTGAGAGGTCTGGAGCTCCCCCTTCCCCCTCCCCGGGAGCTGCGCAGATAGTGGCGCGATGACGTGTGACGTCACACTAGTTTGCTTGTTTTCTGCTGGGGAGTTTTATCCACTAGTTCGGCTTTTGGTAGCAATTTTAACCAGAACAGGGGTTTGTGGGAACCGACCTGTGAGATTTATATTTATTTAATTTATATGAATTTATATAGAATTTATATTTACGTTAATTTATATACTTCGATAGCAATTTGTATAATGATAAGTGGACTGTATTTCTGCAATAATCTCATAATCTCACAAATCGATCCTCTACACATTAGGGGGGGTTTATATTAATTGAATATATATGCAGCCAATCAAACTACAGTATTAACTACACATTATTAAACATTGAAGAGGTTCCTTATCTTATAGTACAGCAGGTTAGTCCACCAGGTATAACTAGGGTGTAGACACCACATTTTCCCTCTTTGAGGTAGCTTCCATCACCCTGGTAACTGATGTACAAAGCATGCTTCCTCGTCTTGACCTGTCAAAAGGGCGCTAACTGTAAAGCCAGAATCCTATATATGACAGGTATTTCAGAGAAAACACTGTACATGGAACAATGAAGACCTGGCTTAATTACCTTTAGTTTGAGGCTATATCGTGCTCTAACTGGCTAACCCTACCCAATGACATTAATGGCCACTAATGATAGATAATGGGTTTCGGAAAGAACACTTAACTTGATTTGATGACAGCGTGTTGATAATGGTACACCTTTGGTTTCCATAACACTACGTCCAAGTAAAATTAACAGGAGCCGAATTTGCTCCCGAGAGCCTCTGGTCTAGTCTCAACAATGGTTGCCCTCCCTCACCCTGATGCCTAGCTTACATTGTCCAGATGTCAATAAGTGATAGAAGGGTCACATTTACTCTACTTTAATATTGATAATTAAGTTAATTTATATAAGATGTTTTTATGATGGTAAAGTCCAAAGACTAATGTATTTAAGAATAATTCCCACCATAATAGATGGTGAATTATAATAGTATGTGGTGATGATATCCCGTTTTCTATAGACGGTAATTCCACAAGTTACGTTTTCTATGGGTTAACTTGTTTATACAACACAGCTATTATTATCTGTATGATATTAAATGGTGTCGGATTTTCCGACAGGGTTTGTTTTGGAATGCATACCTTTCTGGATGCTTGACCTGGTCGATGGCAGACATAAGAATGCTTCCAACCACACGGGGGGTTTCTATAGGCCATTGCTCCCCTTGCCTCTCTGAGGGGACCAGGTTCTGGCCGTGGTCCCCGGTAGGCCCTAGAATTCCATACAAATGACTGATGCCAAAGTCTGACATTAGCATATCACCCTGGTATAGCTCCAAGGAGCCGACGGGGCTCCCCCCAGAAAATGAACTATAACCGCTGCACTGCGCAGTGCGCCTTGAGACATTCGATGGGTGGTGCATAACACACCTCAGGGCGTTCAAAGGTATAGGGTACGATTCAAAAGTGGCATGCGGTGACTCAGGTACGAAATGGATGCCTGAGGCCTCCAGTGATCATCCGACATTTGAAAAAATACCAGCATGCCCCAGGGCCATGGGGACTCTCAGTTTCAAGGACACAACCATGTCTGACCCATCATCTACGAGCTTCTGGTCCACGGTCAGCTGCGGTCCAGCAAAACGACTCTCAGAGGATGAAATACGGGACATATTCTATGATGATGGACCAATTGATGATGAGTTAGACTACAGTCCTGAAAAAGACCCAACACGGGGTCAGACTCGAGGTATGCCACCCATACCTCTTCGCCAGATTTTTGCCACAGGTATGGCACTCATGCCAGTGGCCCTGCATGCCACCCATGGCCCTGCATGCCACCCATGCCTGTGACCCTGCATGCCACCCATACCTGTGGCCCTGCATGCCACCCATACCCGTGGCCCTGCATGCCACCCATACCCGTGGCCCTGCATGCCATCCATACCCGTGGCCCTGCATGCCATCCATTCCCGTGGCCCTGCATGCCATCCATACCCGTGGCCCTGCATGCCATCCATACCTGTGGCCATACATGCCAGCCATACCCGTGGCCCTGCATGCCAGCCATACCTGTGGCCCTGCATGCCATCCATACCCGTGGCCCTGCATGCCAGCCATAACTGTGGCCCTGCATGCCATCCATACCCGTGGCCCTGCATGCCGGCCATACCCGTGGCCCTGCATGCCGGCCATACCCGTGGCCCTGCATGCCATCCATACCCGTGGCCCTGCATGCCATCCATACCCGTGGCCCTGCATGCCACCCATACCTGTGGCCCTGCATGCCACCCATACCTGTGGCCCTGCATGCCAGCCATACCTGTGGCCCTGCATGCCAGCCATACCTGTGGCCCTGCATGCCAGCCATACCTGTGGCCCTGCATGCCAGCCATACCTGTGGCCCTGCATGCCAGCCAAACCTGTGGCCCTGCATGCCAGCCAAACCTGTGGCCCTGCATGCCAGCCAAACCTGTGGCCCTGCATGCCAGCCATACCCGTGGCCCTGCATGCCAGCCATACCCGTGGCCCTGCATGCCAGCCATACCCGTGGCCCTGCATGCCACCCATACCCGTGGCCCTGCATGCCACCCATACCCGTGGCCCTGCATGCCACCCATACCCGTGGCCCTGCATGCCAGCCATACCTGTGGCCCTGCATGCCACCCATACCCGTGGCCCTGCATGCCACCCATACCCGTGGCCCTGCATGCCACCCATACCTGTGGCCCCTGCATGCCAGCCATACCTGTGGCCCTGCATGCCAGCCATACCTGTGGCCCTGCATGCCAGCCATACCTGTGGCCCTGCATGCCAGCCATACCTGTGGCCCTGCATGCCACCCATACCTGTGGCCCTGCATGCCACCCATACCTGTGGCCCCTGCATGCCACCCATACCTGTGGCCCTGCATGCCACCCATACCTGTGGCCCTGCATGCCATCCATACCTGTGGCCCTGCATGCCAGCCATACCTGTGGCCCTGCATGTCAGCCATACCTGTGGCCCTGCATGCCAGCCAAACCTGTGGCCCTGCATGCCAGCCAAACCTGTGGCCCTGCATGCCAGCCAAACCTGTGGCCCTGCATGCCAGCCATACCCGTGGCCCTGCATGCCAGCCATACCCGTGGCCCTGCATGCCACCCATACCCGTGGCCCTGCATGCCACCCATACCCGTGGCCCTGCATGCCACCCATACCCGTGGCCCTGCATGCCAGCCATACCTGTGGCCCTGCATGCCAGCCATACCTGTGGCCCTGCATGCCACCCATACCTGTGGCCCTGCATGCCACCCATACCCGTGGCTCTGCATGCCACCCATACCTGTGGCCCCTGCATGCCAGCCATACTTGTGGCCCTGCATGCCAGCCATACCTGTGGCCCTGCATGCTATGCATACCTGTGGCCCTGCATGCTATGCATACCTGTGGCCCTGCATGCCACTCATACCTGTGGCCCTGCATGCCATGCATACCTGTGGCCCTGCATGCCAGCCATACCTGTGGCCCTGCATGCCACCCATACCTGTGGCCCTGCATGCCAGCCATAACTGTGGCCCTGCATGCCATGCATACCTGTGGCCCTGCATGCCAGCCATACCTGTGGCCCTGCATGCCATGCATACCTGTGGCCCTGCATGCCAGCCATATCTGTGGCCCTGCATGCCAGCCATACCTGTGGCCCTGCATGCCAGCCATACCTGTGGCCCTGCATGCCACCCATACCCATGGACCTGCATGCCACCCATACCCGTGGCCCTGCATGCCACCCATACCTGTGGCCCTGCATGCCAGCCATAACTGTGGCCCTGCATGCCAGCCATACCTGTGGCCCTGCATGCCAGCCATAACTGTGGCCCTGCATGCCAGCCATACCTGTGGCCCTGCATGCCAGCCATAACTGTGGCCCTGCATGCCAGCCATACCTGTGGCCCTGCATGCCAGCCATACCTGTGGCCCTGCATGCCAGCCATAACTGTGGCCCTGCATGCCATCCATACCTGTGGCCCTGCATGCCAGCCATAACTGTGGCCCTGCATGCCAGCCATAACTGTGGCCCTGCATGCCAGCCATAACTGTGGCCCTGCATGCCAGCCATAACTGTGGCCCTGCATGCCATCCGTACCTGTGGCCCTGCATGCCAGCCATAACTGTGGCCCGGCATGCCAGCCATAACTGTGGCCCTGCATGCCAGCCATAACTGTGGCCCTGCATGCCAGCCATAACTGTGGCCCTGCATGCCAGCCATAACTGTGGCCCTGCATGCCAGCCATAACTGTGGCCCTGCATGCCATCCATACCTGTGGCCCTGCATGCCAGCCATACCTGTGGCCCTGCATGCCAGCCATAACTGTGGCCCTGCATGCCAGCCATAACTGTGGCCCTGCATGCCATCCATACCTGTGGCCCTGCATGCCAGCCATAACTGTGGCCCTGCATGCCAGCCATAACTGTGGCCCTGCATGCCATCCATACCTGTGGCCCCTACCGGCCACCCACACATATGCCATCACCAGCCACCCTTACCAGTGACCCCAGCAGCAGCCCCTAACCGTGACACCCTCTCCAAGGCACCCATATCTGTGACCTCCCTCCCCCGCAGCGTTGGCCCAAGTTATCAAGTCGGCCAATAGAAGAACCCCCAGAACCCTCCAGATATGCACCCATGCCTATGACCACACCAGCCGACCATATCTGTGACCACACCAGCCGACCATACCAAACGCCCATAGCTGTGACCCCACCAGCTGCCCATAGCTGTGACCCCCACCGGCTGCCCATAGCTATGACCGCACCAGCTGACTACAGCTGTGACCCCACCAGCTTGCCCATAACTGTGACCCCACCAGCTGCCCATAGCTGTGACCCCACCAGCTGACTACAGCTGTGACCCCACCATCTGCCCATAGCTGTGACCCCATCAGCTTGCCCATAACTGTGACCCCACCAGCTGCCCATAGCTGTGACCCCCTACCAGCTTGCCCATAGCTGTGACCCCCTATCAGCTTGCCCATAGCTGTGACCCCACCATCTGCCCATAGCTGTGAGCCCATCAGCTTGCCCATAACTGTGACCCCACCAGCTGCCCATAACTGTGACCCCACCAGCTTGCCCATAACTTTGACCCCACCAGCCGCCTATAGCTGTGACCCCCACCAGCCGTCCACTTGAGGCAGAGCCGAGCAGCTACATACACCATTACTTACTCTTATTAGCGACCTTTATGACCTTTTGGTAGTTAGAGTTCTCAATGAACTTCTTGAGCTCGCCATAGTAAGAGGCGAGTCGTCCCTCCGCCATGTTGTTGATCACTGGGCCAGCTGGCACAACGCTCCCTCACACCTCATCCAAATCTTACAACAAACACGCTTAACATCAAAACCTATCCGATTTTAACATATTACAAATTATTAAATAAAAAAAATATTTACAGTTCAAAGAAGAGATAGACCTAGTTATGTGCATATATTGGATCCCTTCACCCTTCAACTTCCTTACAAATGAAGGTTGTGTCGTCAGCAAATAGAATTGGTTGAGGTGTTAGGAGGCATTTGGAAGGTCATTAATGTAGATGAGAAAGAGGAGAGGGCCAAGTATGCTGCCCTGGGGAACACCAATGTTGATGGGTAGGGTGGGAGAAATTGTATTATTCACAGAAACATACTGGAGCCTGTCAGTAAGGTAAGACTTAAGGTACTGCAGGGAGTGACCTCTGACTCCATAATAATGTAATTTAAGAAGAAGGTTTTGGTAGTTGACAGTGTCAAAAGCCTTACGCAGGTCCACAAATAACCCAACAGGGAACTCATTTTTATCAAGAGCTGCATAAATCAAGTTAATCATACTAATTTTCTGCTATTCATTCTGCTATTGAGTTCAATAGGTTCTTCTCTTCCATTGGTTCATCCCTTGCAAATGATATTCCATCTTCCAGTACTGACATTAAGGACTATCTTACAGGTAACTATCCACAGTCTCTGTACCTAAAGCCTATTAACTCCACTGACGTCAATGAGATAATCCTTTCCCTTAAAACCAAGTCTGGTGCCCTTGAGGAGATACCAACTTTAATTTACAAAAAAGCCTCCAGATCTTTAGCCCCTGTTATTGCTTTGCTCTTCAACAAGTCACTTGAACTCCAAACCTTTCCAGATATTCTAAAAAAGCGAGAGTAACGCCTGTCCACAAATGTGGTGATCCCACAGATGTTAACAACTACAGACCTATATCAATCCTGCCAAACTTGTCAAAAATTTTTGAAAAACTAATCTATAAGCAGCTTTACTCATATCTAGCCAAACTCAATATACTTAGCCCTTGCCAATATGGCTTCAGACCCAAAAAAAACACTAACGATGCACTTATTAGTATGCTTAACTCGATTCATACAGCTCTTGATAAAAAGGAGTTCCCTATTGGGTTATTTGTGGACCTGCGTAAAGCTTTTGATACTGTCAACCACCAAAACCTTCTTCTTAAATTACATCATTATGGAGTCAGAGGACACTCCCTACAATATCTCAAATCCTACCTTACTGACAGGCTCCAATATGTTGCTGTGAATAATACAATTTCTCCCACCCTACCCATCAACATTGGTGTTCCTCAGGGCAGCATACTTGGCCCTCTCCTCTTTCTCATCTACATTAATGACCTTCCAAATGCCTCCCAACACCTCAAACCAATTCTATTTGCTGACGACACAACCTTCATTTACTCCAGTCCTGACCCCCTTGCTCTAAATGCCACAGTAAATACTGAGCTAAATAAAGTCCATCTTTGGCTAACTGCCAACAAACTCACCCTTAACATTGACAAAACTTTCTATATTCTGTTTGGCAATAAATCCTCTAGTCAAATAAATCTCAAAATAAACAATACCCAAATTTGTAACAAATTAGATGGCAAATTCCTTGGCATTCTCATTATCCACAAGCTGAATTTCCAGGGACACATTCTAAATATATCAAAAAAAGTTTCAAAAACTGTGGGCATTCTTTCTAAGATCAGATATTATGTACCACGCCCTGCCCTGGTGACTCTCTATTACTCCCTTATCTATCCATATCTCAACTATGGTATTTGTGCTTGGGGTTCTACTACCCAAAATCACTTACGTCCTCTAATTACCCAACACAAAGCTGCTATTAGGACAATATCCAACTCTGGCCCCAGACATCACTCGGTACCCCTACTCAAATCTCTGAATATGTTAGACATTAAGTCACTGCACATTCTCTCATGTGTATTATACATATATAAAACGCTAAACTATAATGCCAATCCTGATCTCAAAAGCTTCATAGAAGGTTGTAACAGAACCCATGAGCACCACACCAGAAATAAATACAGTTTTGATATTCCTAGAGTACGACTTAATCAAACTAGAAATGCTCTACAAATCAAGGGGCCCAGAATGTGGAATGACCTTCCCAACCATGTTAAAGACTGTACCTCTCTCAACCAGTTTAAGATAAAAACTAAACACTACCTAATAAATTCCCTGTAACCTACCTCACTCCTCTATTGTCAACCCATGTGTTATTTTTTTTTTTTTTTTTTTTAATCAACACTGTTTGTCAACCTATTGTATTTGTGCTGCTTTTTCAGTCATGTTCCCCCTTTTTTTTATCTTTATTTGTATTTGTTCTCAACACTTTTTATTCTTTATGCTCAATTAGTATTAAGTTCTAGATATTAATGTTTTTCTTGCCCGAAACGCATTGCGTAATAGTGGCTTTAGGCATTGTATGTACTAGCTCTATCTATATATCAATCCATTAATGTAACATCACTTGTATGTATATACCTTACCTGAATAAACATATTATATAATAAGTGCATCGTTAGTGCTTCTTTTGGGTCTGAAGCCATATTGACAAGAGCTAAGTATATTGTGTTTGGCTAGATAAGAGTAAAGCTGCTTGAAGATTAGTTTTTCAAATATTTTTGACAAGTTAGGCAGGATTGATATAGGTCTGTAGTTGTTAACATCTGTGAGATCACCACATTTGGGAACATTTTCCCGACGCGTCCCAGTCTTACCTGGGACGCAGTCGGGTCAAGATACTTGCTCCGCGACTAGGGGTGAAGTTAGTGTTGGTGTTTAGCTAAGTCTACACATAAGGAGACTGACTAGTATCAATCGCCTTCTACACATCTCCCCCCATGCTGGGTACTGAGATGGAGACTCAGTCACCAGAAGAACTGGCTACTTCCCACGGCAATATTAACATGGACTCAGAAAGCAGCCAGTCAGTCGAGGAGGGTGAGTATCAAGACGTTCTAACAAGGCAACAGAAGAAACGGAGAAGACAGGATGCAAGGCGTAGTGTTGACAGTGATAGTACACTTAACGGAAACGACAAGAGAATGAAGAACGACGCCAAGACTGATGCCGACGAACGGACGGAACGATGTCAGGAAGGTGAAGGTCAGCGGAGATGGAGGCTTCTCTTCCCTGCCTCATGCACGCTGGCCTATCATCAGAAGCTGCTGTGGACAGTGAGACTTGGAAGAGAACACCGCAAGTTCGAGCCCCTGCTGAAGGAAGGTGTAAACAGACCTTACTTAACGGTAGGTTCTATGAAGGCAGTGGTGTATCTTACCCAGCAAGGATATGATGGAATTGTTATGGAAATGCCGGAGGATAATGAGAAGCTGACGAAGGTAATTATCTACAAATACCCTCAGATTCTTGACCCCGAATTCATCCTCGACGACCAACGATTTGTGTGGGCCGATTGATGAAGATTAAGCCACCCAAGAGGTGGCACGGACATGAATAGTCCGTAAGTGGTACAATTTATTTTTTCTCAGTATTCTGAGGTTGCACTTAACCATCCAGCTGTTATCGCGGGGGAGGATACTGCTTCACAGTCTTTATGAGGGTGTCCAGCTGCTGGACACCTTTGTTGACCAGGAGAGTGGCTGTGTTGATGGCTTCAGGGTGGCCACTGCATGATTCAGGAACTCTAAAAGCTCTTCTAAGGTGTGTTGTGTGGGCCAAGCGTCACCTTATTAAAGGTGAAGTTAGGAGTCAGGTGGTGGCTCTAGTGAGAGGTGAAGTTCCCGAGAAAGTGTTCATCACCGGGGCTGGCTACAGGCATGTAGCAAAGTATGTGGAAGAGCCCATAATATGCCTGAAATGCTGCAGATGGGGCATAAATCCTGGAGCTGTCAACATGATCCAGGTTGTTGTTTCTGCGGAAAGTCTCACCTCTCTAATGTGTGTAGAAACAGACTTAATCTGGGTGAGAAAATAGTTCCCAGATGCTGCAACTGTGGAGGTGTTCACAATGCCAGCTCGGCTGTGTGTAGCAAGAGGCCGAGTATGGATGTTCCCCGTCCGGTGAATGTTACAGAGCAGGCAAGAGCTCTTACCCAGACACCGGGAGCACAGCAAAACAGTCTGCCCCAAACAGTGCCAGTGAACCGGACGAATGCGTGGGCATAGGAGTCACCTTTACTCGTCAGGCTCAAGCAACAAGCAGCCACGCCACCACTCAGGACTCCGGCAGTGACAGCGTAACGGTGAGTGAAGTGGTTACTGTGGCTCAGAAAGAGGGCCATAATGATATGGTCAAGGAGGTGTGGGCTGAACTAAGAAAAGTTGGTGAGTTCCTCCGAAATCTTGGGCAGAGAATCGAGTCCATCGAGGCGAAATTAAACGTTCAGGAGGTCAAGGAAAATCACAAAACAGTGAAGGAAAGTCAGGATATAGTGGTTGAGGGCAATAATGAAATATTGAGTGATGAAATGAAGGAAAGTGAAGTGTGTGTGAATGATGATAGTCGTAGTGAAAGGAAGAACTCTATAATTACACATAAAATGAAGGAATCATTTGAGCCAATAATGGACGTCACAGGACTGAAAAAATCTCTTGAGAATCGCAATGTCGCTTTTACTGGTGAACTTGGGAGGAGGTGGGAGATGTTATACACGGTATGGCTATCATTTAGTGAACTTATTGGGGATGACTTAAACAGTGAATTGTTTAATAATGGATCACCCTAAACTGAAAGTGTTGTCATGGAATGTTAATGGTTTAAGAAACAGGGTTACAGATGTTCATTGTTATGTGATGGGAAATGATATTGATGTTGTAGCTCTCCAGGAGACAGGGGATAGGAATGAAGGCTTATTGAAATTAAATGGCTATAAAGGGTTTCACCTCTTCGCCGCAAATAACATCAGAGGGACGTCGATTTATGTTAAGAACTCCATACCAGCAGAGTTAGTAGAACCGCCATCAAAAACGCAAGGTATAGAGAGTGTCTGTGTTAAATTATCATTAAGGAAAGGGGAATTTATTGTAGTTAATTTGTA